TAACTGGTTGCAAGTCTCCATTGAGAAAGGCATTTTTAACATCCATTTGGAACAAGAGCCAAGAGTAATTGGTTGCAAGAGATAATAACACTCTAATAGTGGTCATTTTTGCTACTAGTGCAAAAGTCTCCAAGTAATCTATACCACAAGTCTGAGTAAATCCCTTTGCAACTAACCGGGCCTTATATTTTTCAATGGAACCATCAGCATTATGTTTCATAGTAAACACCCATCTACATCTAACTGGTTTCTTCCCTTTGGGTTGATCAACTAGCTCCCAGGTATTGTTTCTCAGAAAGGCATCCATTTCTACCTCCATTGCATCTTTCCACTCAGGAATGGTCAGAGCTTCCTGTATTGTTCTAGGAATGGGAATATCAACAATTGATGTAAGAAAGGACTTGTAAGAGGGGGACAGGTGATCATAGGACAAGAATTGTGAGATACAGTCGGTTATGGATGAGGTGCAACGGCGTTTGCCTTTACGGACTGCAATGGGAAGGTTAAGGTCATTCAATGGGAGTGAGGGCTCAGAAGATGAAAAAGGCTTAGCAGCAGAAGGCTCATCTGTAATGGGAGCTGGAAGAGATGTAGTACCTAGATCTAGATCTTCATAAGGAGTTGGGGCTGACCTGGACTGCTGATGACCGAAATCAACTTGCCTCCATCGTATGTGATAAACTCTCAAATCTCGACATTTTTGACAACCCTCCCCATTACACCCCTCTTCACTCAATGGAACAAGTAAAGGAACTTCTGATGTGTTAACCCCAACCGTACTACTCTCCCCATGAGAAGAAACCCTAGAGTAATAAGGTACATCCTCAAAGAAAGTAACACCCATGGATACAAATCTCTTTCCTGAAGTAGGTTTGTAGCAGCAACATCCCTTTTGAGTTTGTGCAGAACAAAAGACAGGGAAATGGCACTAAACAACTTGATGTCTCCCTTGCCAAAAATGGGAACAAGTGATCCATCAGCAATAAGCACCTTGTCTTTACCAGAGGATAAGTGATAGGTAGTAAATAGTGAAGGCAAACCAGTCATATGATCAGATGCACCTGAATATATTACCCAACAATGTTCAATGTTACCTAGAGCTGAAGCATGATAAGCTGAGGCCCGTGTACCTGAATGAGCAAATGCTGAGGTGGGAGGAGCCGGTGTTGTGATTGGCTGAGATGATGATGCTGAATTACCAACCTCCTTTTCCAACTGAGTCAAGGCAGCTCGGATAGCAGTTAGAGTGTCTAGTGGTGCTGCTCTTGTGCCTGATGATGCTGCACAATCAGTAGTAACAGCTGTATTAGCATTCCCCTTTTTGTTCCTGAGTTTTGCGGGAACTAGATGAGGATGCAGCTTCCAACAAGTTTCTTTGGTATGCTTAGGTTTCTTGCAATGTTCACATATTAGGTTCTTCTTGTCTTCCTTCTTCATATCTCTCTCCTTATCCCCCCCAAACTTGGGTTTAGTTGCTTCCAAGGCTGATTCAAGTGGCGAATACTGTAACGTAACTTTCCTTCTACTTTCTTCACTATGCACTAGAGAGTAAGCTTGTGATAGAGTCACATTGTCTCTTGTTAGAAGTTGTTGTCTCAGAATGTCATACTCAGAATTCAGACCAGTTAGAAACTCAAATACCCTATTGGTTTCAACCTACTTTCTATAGGTTTGTACATCCTTCTGGCTTTCCCACTCAATTGTTTCTAAGTGATCAATCTCATGCCACAAGGATTTCAATGTGGAAAAATAAACCGAGACTAGCTTCTCTCCTTGCTTAAGGTTATTCACCTTACATTTTAGCTCATAGGCCCTAACAACATTGAGGGGATGGGAGTAGGTTTCTTTCATGATATCCCAAATTTCTTTAGCTGTTTTTGCCCATAAATAATTTCGGATGATATGTGGTTGCATGGAGTTACACAGCCATGTCATAACCAAATAGTTCTCCTGAACCCATTCGGTATATATTTGGTCCTCGGCTGGTTCCTTGACATCTCCCAGTAAATAACTTAGCTTTCCTCTACCCCCAATAGCCATCATGGCTGATTGGGCCCACTCTAGGTAGTTTGACCCATCAAATTTTACAGTGGTAATCTGAAAACTGTTCTCAGGTATGCTACCAGCACCACCAGCCCCTAAATAGTTTTCCCCTTGGCTCTTAAACTCCATTCTTTGTAAAGAAAAGATTAACAAATGCCTTTTGTATCACTGAGACTGGGCAATTACACCCAGAATTTGCTATCAGCCGAACCTATTTTATCCTTCTAGGTCGGCAATCCACCCAAAAAAGATAACCTTCCAAGTACAACTTAGAGTGTAGGGCTGAGAGTGCAAGGCTGAAACTAACTGCAGCCCTAGAATTGGCGACAGTTAAGAAAATAGAATCTTGAACCTAGAACCAGTCAAAGGTCAAGAAACAAGCCAAGAACACAACCAGTTCAGCCACACCTCTTAAAGTAACCAAAATACTATTCTTTTAACGTATCAAGAATAGTTCAGGAGGAAAAAACTTTCAATCGAACCTTTGAAATAACCAAAAAAGGTAATCCTTTTAATAGAAAAGATTGACTTACTTCAGCAAAACTCTGGCTGCAACCTTCAAAGATAAGTCTCAACCCTAATCTTGAGGGTTCTTCCTTTTGACTTTCTAGCCGCAGCCTTTAAAAACAAGTCTGAACCCTAATCTTGAGGGTTCTTCCTTCTGACTCTTCCTGATTGCTGGTCATCCTCTGATGCTTCACCAACAATCTCCAAGACTCAGCCGATGATCCCTTTTTGCTGGAAATTTTCCAACTCTAGGAAATTCTTATGCAGCCAGCCATGTCAGACTATCATAAGATTTCCTAGGTTGGCTCTGATACCATGTAGTCGTATGAGACTACTGACAGCCCAAGTTGTGGTGTATAATCAACAGGAAATTAAGAGGATGAGAGGAGAATGAGAAAAGAAGAGAAGAATATTTCGAAGGAAGGATTTCAGAAAAGAAGATGATGCTTAATCTGCTGCCCCCCTCTTTCTATTTATATTAATTCTAAAGTAAGGATAAGATTGCTTACCTGGCAAAATTAAAATCCTAATAAAAGACAACAATTAAAGTCCTAATAAAAGACTAACAACTAATTGTGGACTGACACTTAAATAACTAGTTGTATACGAGTACAATAGAAAGAGGTGGGGACCACATCAGTGGTTTCTACAAAAACCATAGTTGCTGTTGCTGTTATTGTTATTGTAGTATAAATATGAGGCTATATACATCGGACAATGTATGTAATGCAAAAAACAAACAAGTCAGCCCCAATTGCACTCCACCTGCTTCAACCACCTCCATGACTTGCAGGTATGACTGGACCCGTCCTGCCACCTCCTCTCTAGCCCCACAACCAGCACCTTTACTGCCTTGTCCTCCAGATCTAAAAACAACCAATGCAGATTTATTGGAACTAGTAACCATTCCGGTAGATCCCAAAGAAACCTTACAAAGATAAGTAACACATCCATTAGTAATGGAAGGTCAGTAGTGCAGAGGTCTGGGCATGAATTTGTGTAACAACATCAGGCTGGTACCCTGATGTAATAGAGGAAGCACCTCGTTGTTGCATGGTTTCTCTCTAGTTTAATGTCAGAGCATGAACTAAATCATGATTTGGGCATTCTCTTGCATTCATTCATTATAACCATAGGTACCAGCCATAGGTTTGTCATCCTTCGAATACTTAAGTTTACCTTTGGTTATATAAAAGACCCGTAAATTCTGCCAAAGGGATATAGATTTCCCCATTTAGTCCAATGAATGTTATTTGCACTATGAAATGTTCTGGGGAAACAACAACATTTGGCTTAAATTCATCACTTCCATTTCCAGAGGCTGCCATAGTTCCTCTCTGCACACCACATATTATTGACTTCTAACTAGCGGTGTTCACTTACACAAAAAGACAAATATAGAGAGGAACTAGTTTACAAAAAAGCAACACAACTCAAGGTCCACAACAACTAAACTGCTATACATTATACACCATCCAAACATCACAACTCTGAAAAACTCAACAGACCTACAAAATTTCAGAACTCCATCACCCACATCACAAGAAACTTCTTGACATGCCATCAATTTTGATACTCAAATACAGCACCTGGATCTCCATTTGACACTATCAAATAAAGGACTTGAACCACATTATACACGGCACTCCATAGTCACTCATTGTGACATGATCAAGAAAAAGAGGAAAAGAGAGACTTGCAAATCTGATTTCTTGAGTAGAGTGAGTTAGATCTAGAGAGAAGAAAGAAAAAGGGGATGTGGCAATTCAACTTCTTACTAAATGAGATCACATGCTTCACAATGCTCTGATACCATGTTCTAATAATTAATTTCTATCTTAGAATTGATCTGTGAGAAGATTAGAGAAAAAAGGAGACAGAGAGGAAGAAAAAGATGGGAGAAAGATGAAAATCCCATCAGTTGGATGGTATAATAATACTTCTTTACACATTTAAACAACCAATCTGCCCTCACACATTGTGACAGCACTTAAGAGAAAAACATAAAGATAAAAGTACCCCCATTGTCATGACATTTACCACAATGCTTGGGAAACGCACTAGAAACTGTGTTTAAAAGGCCACTATTCATAGGGGGTAATTTGCCACAGATGGTGAGGTGTTAAGATGATGTGGGTATGGAAATTGCACATGTAGTTAATCCAGAAGATCCCTCATAAGATGAGACGAACTTTACTTAACAGATGTGCAGAAAATTGTGATCTCAGCAGTTTTAGAACCTTCTAGAACTCTTAGTCCTAAGATATTTTTGTATAAGAATCAAGTACAGAAGCACCATCATAATACAAAAATACAAACACAGAATGCGGCATACTTCAACAATGTTGTATGTACTAATGAGCATTCTTGAGGAAATTAGTGTTCAACAAAGAATGCAGGAAAAACCCACACTCAAAATGAAAAAAATAAATAAAAAAATTGAACGATACCAATTTCAATTTCTCTGTCTAGTCTTCCAGGACGTCTCAATGCAGGATCTATACTATCAGGCCTGTTGGTTGCAGCAATTACAAGTATGCCATCAGTTCTGCTAATGCCATCCATCAAATTCAAAAGTGTTGCAACAATTCTTTGAGATAACTCTTCACCTCCCTCTTTCCGTGCTGGTGCAATAGCATCCAATTCATCAATAAATACCTAGAAACAGAAAATTGTTAACCATGCATGCAAAGGAAATTGGTTCATTAGAGCATCTTTGTAAGAGAAAATGTTTGAGAATAAAAGATGGAGTTCAGATAATTTGTCCTAAGATGCGAGGGATATGCATTTGAGAATTTGTAGGACACAACTGCTGAAACTTCAATTAATTCTTTTAATTTGAAATTCCAGGGATAACAGGTAAAGAGAGAAACAGAAACTACTAAACTTCAAAACTAACTAAACAAACTGATAAAGTAGATAGCATTTCCTGTGGCTTATTCTTGAGGAAATTCATTGGACTAGATAGGAAGCCCTTTTTTGGAACAAGACAAAGTAAATATGGGCACCTAGGCGACGCCTAGGCAACAAGGCACCCTTGGAGGCTCGCCTCGCCCAGTAGCCAAGCAGTTTTGTGCACCGAGTTATAAAATACTTTTATATTTTTTATTTTTTGACATTATTATTATAAAATAGACATTATTAACTAGAATATTCATTTTATGTGTTTATATACTAATTTCTTTTTATTATTTTCTTGTTTTGTTAGGGTTTAATCAATGCAAACATTGCTAACTGCTGTATTGAACTCATGGTTCAAAGTATTGATACACCTCTGTGTATTGGCAGAGGTGTATCGGTACTTATAACGATACTCCCCCTATTTTTTTATTTCTTTGGTTTTCAATTT